CCCTGGTAAGCGGCGGCAGTATGGCCCACTGCAGCCCTTCCAGGGGGAGAACTAGTAGTGTTTCCTGAGATCCACGCCATGTTGGAACTTAGGACTTTGGGAAGCCAAGCCAGCACCTCCCCTCCCTGGTAAGTGGAGCCAGGGTGGCCCACTGCAGCCCTTCCAGGGGGAGAACCAACAGTGTCTCCTGAGATCCACGCCGTGTTGGAACTGAGGACGCTGTGAAAATAAATGACCATCCTGCCTCCCTGCTTAGCAATAGTGAACCTACTGCTACACGGCCTAGAGTCAAATATCCCACTTCCCTGATCATCCTCCCCCCCCCCCCCCGCCCATTAGCAAATGGGAACCAGAAATCTGAGTATCTCCTGGGAGGTTGACCATAAGTTCTATAGTGTTCTATATTTCATCTCATTTTGATATACGTGATTGAAAGAAGAACTATTATAAAGATAACAAAATATACTGTGATACCTATTACTGTTATCCAGGTAACCTGCTGTAAGTTCTGTACCAATTTCACTGTACGATCTTAGTTGGCTTTATTCTGCCTTGTTCTGTTGTATACTTTCAAAATAAAATTAAAAAAACAAAACAAAAAAAAAAAACTTAATGAGGTTGTAAAAGTAATCAAATCAGAAATAATATCTCAGGTAAAAGAAGAAATCATAAACATAAAGAATTGCTGAGCATATCTAAAGAAGACATAGATAAAAAAAGGACCATAGGAAAATGATGGAAACTTTGCATGAACAATATAGGAAGAAATTAGAATGCATGAAATAGATTCAAAGAGATATCCAGGAAATTAAAAACTCCATCAAAAGCTGGCAAAGCTACTTGAAAGAGACTGAAGATAAACTTTTCGTGCTTTTTTTTTGGCAGTACCAGGGATCCAACTCACGACCTCGTGCTTGCTAGGCTGGTGCTTATGCCACTGAGCTAAATCCCTGGTCCTTAAAGATAAACTTTTAAATCTTTAAGACTGGATTGCAGTTAGTGTTAGTGAAAGAAAAAATCTCTTAAAAATAACAAGGAACCAGGAATTAACAATTCAATGGGGGCTGGGGATTTAGCTCAGCGGCATAAGCGCCTGCCTTGCAAGCAGGCAGTCGTGAGTTTGATCCCCGGTACCAAGAAAAACGAAAAAGACCAAAAAAAAAAAAAAAAACAAAACAAAACAAAAAAACAATTCAATGGCTGAAAGATGATGTAAAGAAAATTGATTTAAATGTGATAGGTGTCAGTGAAAAAGCAGAGGCCAACACAAATGACATAAAAAGCCTATTTGCGGGCTGGGGATTTAGCTCAGCAGCATAAGCACCTGCCTTGCAAGCGTGTGGTCGTGAGTTTGATCCCTGGTACTGGTAAAAATACAGAAAAAAAAAGCTTATTTACAGAAGTAGTAGCTGAAAACTTCCCAAACATGGGAAAAGCGCCTGGCATACAGATATTTGAGGCATTTAGAACTCCAGCTAGCCACAACCAAAATAAATTTACACTCAGACATATAATCATCAAGATTCCAGAAATTCAGCACAAGAACAAAATATTAAAGACTGTTAGAGAAAAGAAACAGATTGCCTGTAAAGAATAATGCATCAGAATCACAGCAGACTTGTCAGCACAAACCATCAAGTCAAGAAGACCTTAAAGTATTTCGAATACTGAAAGAAAACAGCTTCCAACCTAGATTGATGTACCCTGTAAAACTATCTTTCAAAATTGATGGGAAAATAAGATACCTGCATGATAAAGAACAACTGAAGGAATTTATGACTACCAAAGCAACCCTACCAAGAACACTGAAAGCTATTCTAGAGCCATAAAGAGGACCATGGTTCCAGAAACAGCAGACGAGGATCACCAAACAGGGCAGGCAGTTGAACAAAGCGGGGAAGCAAGGGGCGGACAGCAGGAGCACAGCATGACAGAGGTGAGCCAGTGCATGCTGGCTGTAACCATTAATGTGGATGGCCACAATTCACCCATAAAAAGAAACACAGAGAGAGTGTGGATCAGGAAGCAAGATCCATCAATACGCAGTATACAAGAAATGCATTTAACTCGAGGAAATTCATAGACCGAAGGTCAAAGGAGAAAAAACAGTGTTCCATGTGACAGGAAACCAGAAAAAACCAGAGGTAGCTTGCCCATCAACCGCAGAATGGATAAAAATATGGTAATTTCATACAATGGAAAGCTACTCAGCTATAAAGAAGGATAATCTTGATACTCTTTAGGCAAATGGATGCAACTTTATATCATGCTCATGGGTGAAATGGTTCAGACTCATATGGGTGAACATCGTGTTATCTTCTAGCATGAAAAGCTGAAGAAGTTAGTGGGATCCAAAATGTATAGGTTTTTTGAAAGTGATAGAGCAAGAAGCATCTAAATAGGGAAGATGGTAACCATTTGTAGTTTCCTATTATCTTGTTTTGAATTCCTGTGTTGTTTTTATAGTTTTGTTAGGTTTGGTTTTATTCTATATTGTTGTTTGATTTTACCATGTCTGATGGTATGGGCAGCTATTTTGAAGATAATGGTATTATGGTAGCCATTATTGATTTATTATCTTGTTTTGAATAATGCCTTTATTTTCTTTTGATTTCGTTTTGTTTGTTTTTATGATGTCTGATGGTATGGACAGCTATTTTGAAAAAAACGAGATATTATGGTTACCCATTGTTGATTTCCTATTTTGTTTTGAAGTTCTGTATCATTTTCATTGTTCTGTTTTGATTAGCTTTGTTCGGTTTGTTTTAGTTTGGTTTGGTTTTATTCTCTTTAAAATTAAAATTTTTTTAATTTTTAAGAATTCAGGGCACATATAGCTTAGCACAAGTCATGAGGAGGAGGAAGTCATGAGTACGATCCTTGGAACCCCAAAAAAATAAAATAAAATTTTAAGAATTCTCGATGCTTATTGATTGCAGCTTATAGAACTTCAGCAGCTTTATTATGTGTTAAATTCCTTTTTAAAAGTGACTCATCCTTTTTTATAGTGGCTGTCACTCAAACCTTTCCTCTGAATGGTTTGCTTTTTAAAGTTTTACATGTGTCTGGGTGTGGTGGTGCACACCTGTAATCCCAACATTTTGGCAGCTGAGGCAGAAGATTCCCATGAGTTCACGGCCAGCCTAAACTACATAGTGAGACCCTGTCTCAATTAATCAGTAAATTTATGTGTGCAAATTGGGATTATATTTGGCTGCTCCTAGTAGGAAATTTAAAATGGGTATCCTGTATGATGGTTTGTTCTGTCCCATAAAAGAAGTCTGAAAGTAGGTTCTCCAAGTGTGCTACATAGTAACTGTATGAAATCATCAGCAACCTGTGGTGGCTGGGCCTGGTGGCACATGCCTGTGATCCCAGCACTTGGGAGACTGAGGCAGAAGGATCACTGTGAGTCTGAGGCCAAACTGGGCTATAAAAAAAAAAAAAAAAAAATTAAATAAACAGAGCTGGGCATATAGCTCAGCAGCATAGCACCTGCCTGGCAAGTTGAGAGGCCCTGAGTTTGATTTCTGGCACCAAAAATAAATGAACAAACAGCCAAAACCATGATGAGCCCATGATGAAATACTTTCTTTGGGCTCTGCTATTTTAACCCTTAGCTTGCATTCTCTAGGCCACTTTATGGTCCTGGACTGCTGCTGGAGCATCAATTCCCTTATCTAAGGCTAGGAGTGGTAGAAAGACCTCCTGAGAACTTTTTTTTTTTTTTTATAAACAGCCTTCTGCATTGGTCAGCTGAGCAAACACCCTAGAAAAACAGCTTAAAGAAGGAAAGGTTGATCTTGCTCACGTACAGGACCATAGCTGGCTGCTGCATTGCTTTTTGGCCTGTGGTGAGGCTGAAGGGTGCGCCAAAGAAAAACTGCTCCCTATTCCTGCAGCCAGAAGCGGAGGGAGAGAAGGGGACCTGGGCCTCTGTAGAGTCCCCAAGGTCACACTTGTCGCGTTCCACTCCTGCCAACTGGGACCCACCGCCCATTTCTGTTGCCCCTTGGTAGGGCCACTCTCAGTCAACCTGGAGGATGACGTTAAAGCCCTTAGGGTCCAGGATCTATTTTCTTGGTCCCACCTCAAGCATTGTTGCAGAGGGGATCAAGCCCTCGATGCGTGGAGCTTTGGGGGAACACTCCATGTTAAAACCGTAACAGCTGCCCAGAAATCCTTTACACTCACTTACCCTACTATGTGGAGCTTAGCTGCCTGGCCACGCCAGGCCAGAAGAGGGGCTGAGGAGCAGACTGACTGAGTGCGTGGCCATAGTCATACATGAGAGTTTCTGATACCAGTGAGGAATGGAAGAAGGAGTATTGAGCGGTAGCCTTTGGTCGCTGTCACAGCCTATTTTTAATGAGAGGAATAATCACCAAATACTACCATGATAGTGGGTTAAAAAAATTGGTGATTTTTCTTTTTGTCTTTTTGGGATCGGGTCTCCCTATGCAGTTCAGTTTGTCTAGACTCACTTTGTACCCCAGGCTGATCTCAAATGTGCAAGGATCATCCTGCCTTAGTCTTTTGAGTGCTGGGATAACAGGCGTGAGCCACCATTCCTGGCTTTAGAGATATTTTTGTCTTAGACTGACCTTTTCATTATAGAGGAATTATTTAAAGGAGTTTGAAACACAGCGATATCATTTAATTGCCAAATATTTTGAGTATAACTAAGCTTTTGACCATCCCTTTTTTGTTATTGTTGGTTTGGTTTGGTTTTTGAGAGAGTCTGGCTTTGTAGTATAGGCGGGCCTTAAACTCACTGTGGAACTCAGATTAGCCTTGAACTCAGAGTGATCCTCCTGCCTCAGGCCCCTCCCCGTCCCATTTCAGGCACACGACACTACGCCTGGCTGACCTCTTGTTCTTGAGGTCTACCTGAAATTGTTATTTCTGAGAGTCATTCCTCATTTGAATTACAACAGGAATGGATGTTGGGAAACTCTTAGCTAAGCACTTGAAGTACTAATTCATAGCTTTCTTTATAGATATATGGCAGCGTGTGGGAGAAATTACACCGGGCCTTTGCCATTTGGAGTGGTTTTGGTATGACCCTGACTGGCGTCCACACCTGTGGAGATTACATGTTCAGCGGCCACACAGTCGTCCTAACTATGCTAAATTTCTTTGTCACTGAATGTGAGTATCTCATGCGGCTGTGCGTGTTAGACAAATCTCTGGAGCAGAGGCTATGGGAAGGGGGCCAGAAGTCCTGTGGCTGATGAGCAAGAATCTTGACCTAGGACACATATGACTAAGAAGCCTTGAAAGAAATGTGGTTTTAAAATGACCTTTCTGTCCTTTTCCTAGATACACCAAGAAGCTGGAATTTCTTGCACACCTTGTCCTGGGTTCTCAATCTCTTTGGGATCTTCTTCATCCTGGCTGCCCATGAGCATTACTCCATCGATGTGTTCATTGCCTTTTATATCACAACGAGGCTCTTTCTGTACTACCACACTCTGGCCAACACCAGGGCTTATCACCAGAGCAGGAGAGCGAGAATCTGGTTTCCCATGTTTTCTTTCTTTGAATGCAATGTTAATGGCACGGTACCTAATGAATATTGTTGGCCATTTTCAAAACCAGCAATAATGAAAAGACTAATTGGATGAAGTTATCTTTGTAATGAGTTTGTGATTAAGTATACAGTAGTTGTTGAATAACTTTGCTTTCTCTTGTTAGGTTGTTGCTGGATGTGTTGCATTTTGGCTTATATATTGACAGAGTTCCCAGTGCTGAGTGAGGGTATGATTGTAAAAAGCAAGAAAGAACAGTGAAAACCCTTACCTAAACATTTGAACTGAAAGCTTCAGTATAGGTTTTCTGCCCCTTTATTTTAAGAAGATTTAAATATTTGATTGAAGTTGGGCTGTTGCCCTTACCGTTGAGTATTTGTTTATTGAACTTAAGCAAATCAGCAGAAGCTGTTTGCTGGTTGAAGGATTTTTATGAACTTCCAGCAGTGCTCTAGTTAAGAAATGGTATTTTTGAAGCCCCTTAAAAGAAAAATCTGTACAGTGTGAACAGTGCTTGTTCTTTGAACTAATTTTGTGTCTAGAAAGTGATTTGTTTTATTGACAAAAGTGTTTTGCCTTCTCAATTGTCTTTAAGAAAGTTCACTGAGCATACACCATGCCTGAAACAAGGGAACGAAAGGGCCATCTGTGAGGTGACAGTACTGAGGAGGTGTCACCGGCCTTCTCGTTGATATATGTGGGTGTAGAGCTGGCATTTTTCACCAAAGATGTCACAAAAGATGCAGTTCGTATTTTGTTCTGAGGGTTCAAAATGAACGTCGGCAAGCACTTGAGGGAAAATATGGCTGCATTCATAAAAACAATGGCTAACTTTAGTGGTACAGGTACCTGAAATAGCTGTCATTATTAGACCAGTGACAGCCCAATTTAATACTTTTTAAAGTGATGTTCTTTAATGAGACAAATAGGAGTGTTTTACCAGATGTTAAGTTCTTATGGCAGTAAGTAGGGAGGTACGCATGCAAAGCATTTTCTTCTTCTGAAGAGAAGCGAATAACAAGTTGTGGAAGAAGTGTGAACTTTTAAAGTTTTGAACTTTCTCATTCTTGGTTATCAGTAAATAGTGTGAGACATGTTTGGATACAAAAAAAAAAAAAAAAAAAAAAGCTTTGTTGCTTTTTATTTGTAAAACAATTGTGTACATACATTCTTTCTACCTAGTGTTTATTTGCCAGTCAGGAAATGAACATCTTAACTGCTGTTCACAACACTAGAAATTTAATATCTTAAGAAACTTCACCTTTGTGAAGCATTTGTCACTTTATTTTCAATGAATTTTTAGGTAGCAATATGACAGAGCAGGCTGTGGAACTGGAAATTGACCCTGACTGATGAATTGAACCGCTTAGAGTATCACTGTGTAGATTGTACATTCCATGTCTGACATGCAGTTAGTTAGCAGAGGTGTGGCATACATCCTGAGGCCTGAAGTTAGGCCACAGCAGAAGCCGCTCCTTCCTTATCTGGGTGAAATATTTTATTTTTGCACTTTGAGTTGTAGTTCCACTCCTGTAAAAGCTACAGAGGAGCCTGCATGAATTGGGTAGGAAAGGAGCTTTACGGGAAGATGTGCCAGCCAGTGCTGAGTGACCCTAGTTCTGAACATTCATTTCTCACGTGAGAAATGGTACCAGGCAACTGGAACTTTATTATGCTTTTAAATCTTATATATCTTAAATTGTTGGTTCTGTTACATGCTAGGGACAAAAATACCAACACGTTAACAAAAGAAACTGCGTAATCCACGAAGTGTGAAGGGTGCTTCCTCTGCTCCTTAGGGTGGTTTCACCTTCGAGGTCAAAAGATGTGGCACCAACTTTATTTTTTCCCCAAATGACAGAACAGGGAAGAATTGAGCCAGAGAGGGACTAATGTTGGCTTTTGGTACTACATTTTAAAAAGAAAAGTCTTTGGCAATATTAACTTTAAAATGTTAAATGGCTATTAATGGTAAACATTTTCTTTCTGCATATGGATTCCAGTGTAGGAAAAGCTAAAAAAATATAACGGCAACTAAATTTGCAGAGCTCTTGACTAGGAGAGTGCCTAACAGCAGATGGCAGTGATACTTGTAAAATCGCTTTCCAGGCTCGCATTTACTCTTCTTTTGAGAAAAAAGTAAGCTAGATTTATAATTTATTGTTTTAACTATTACAAGGCAGTGTTTACATAAAGTAATCATCTCCAGATTTTTCTTGGAAATCTCTGGGACAAAATTATTTCAGTCATTTACAAAGGTGAAACCCATATTTTAGACATTTTTATTTTGTCCAGAAATTTCCAAGATTTTTGTCTTTGTGCTTTTTCTTCTTGTTAAAACCCTAAATTGTAGTAAAGATAGGTGTTGACACTTGAGTGTGAGTGTGGCTGGTGAAGAAGCTGTAGGCCCATGCACCACATCAGGTTCTGCAGGTGCAGGTTTCTGAGTGCCCTGCTTCCTGGAGAGCTTGGTGGGTTCGCAGATACAAATTGGCGTTTTTGTGGAAAGTCCTAGAAGCATTGTCGGGGATCCTGGAGCAGTGTTGCCTTTTTCCTTTTTCCTTTTGTTTTTAAAGGACCAGGCAAGGTAGTACTGAGAAGTAACTGAAGTTGATAGGTATCAAGGTAGGTTTCGAAGAAGGCAAATTTGACACTACCATCAAATAATCTGGGGCAGCTTCTTTGGGCTGTGTTGAATTCTCAACACGGTATCCTCTCCATAGTTCTCTGACTAGAATTGCTAGTACGGTTAGCAGTGAGCCAGCCTCAGTCCCACTCAGCTAAGTGTGGGCTGCTGACAGTGCAAGGCTGGTAGTGTGGTGAGCTGTCCCTGCCGTCAGGTTGGGACTGAGAATCCCAGCACCCCTGAAGTTTATAAATGGGGAACAGAGGAGCCACATCCTTCCGCAGCGGCAAAAAGCAGTCTGTTGGAGGAACATCAATTTAGAAAGCAATATTCATACATTTCTGGAGTCATATTCCTAACACTAATCATTGACTGTAGTCAGCAGAAGGCAGTTTCAAGGCTTCTAGATCCACAGTGCTTAAGGGTGTTAGACGTATTCTTGTTTAAAGTCTCCGATTAATAAATTTGCCTTTTTGTAGACTGCCATTATCCCATACTAAGAGTAATTACAGTCAAGTCATTTGTCAGTTCTTGAAGGGATTCAAGCATTTGAGACAAAAGGAGCTCTCTGTCAGAAAAGCCCATTTGCTTTTTTTTTTTAGACAATATCAGTTACATGCAGATAATTTTCAAAGCCAACAAAGCATGTCAGTTTTAATGGCAGCTTTAGTTGGCCGTTTAGACAGTTGGTATCTGTAAAATTTATCCTGCGCTGAGCACAGTGGTGTGCACTGTGACCCCAGCACCGGCACTCGGGCAGGAGCGGGGTGAGTTCCAGTCCAGCCTGGGCTGCATAGTGATGCCCTGTCTCAAGTTCAGTCTGAATTACCCTTGTCCCGCTATGCTACAGAATTGCCATGGAACTAAGGTCACAATGCTTCAGGTATCCAGTGAGAGCAGAACAGAACAGGCTGAGTTGATTTGTCTCCTGTCTTTCTTGAGTTCCCCTCTGACCTCGCACCAAGTGAACAACACTTATTTCAAAGAACTCACAAGTGACTTAATTCCTTTGTGTCAGGTTCAGTGCACGTAGCTGAAATCTGTAAGCCATGATCTTAACCACCAGTAAGTTGCTTTTTAAAATACACTACTCCAGACCAACCCACAGGATTCTTTATTCAGTGCGCTCAGTCCCAGCCCTCGGGGCTGTGAGGCAGAGGTGGCAGGGGAGGGCGCGGTGGCCTTGGTGCATGGTTAGTGCGCTGCCAAAGGTGGAGCGCAGCCGAGAGCTTCTGTTGGTCAGCGGAGCCTCCCAAAACTGTTCCGCCTAAAGATGTTTCCATTCAGAGAATCCAGGAACTGTCAGGGCGAGGAAGTATTTCTAATACGGAAGGGGGCTGCGCAGCCAGGAAGCACAGGGGTTTGGCCTGCAATGGACACCCAAGTTTGAGCTTTCTGCCCAGAGGCTCCTGTCCACAGAGAAACTAGTATTACTTACAACGCCACAGTGGTAGCCATATTTTGAAGCACAGCATTGTACATAAGTAAATATCTTGATTCTAAATTAAATTCAGATTTAACTAATATATATTATTTTATATCTTTGTTGTATTAAAATGTTTAAAAACACTAAAAATAAAACATTTGGAAGTTGGGTTGCAGTTTCTTATTTAAAATCTTTTTTTTGAGACAGGATCTTGCTGTATAGTGCAGGTTGGCCCTGAACTGCTAAGCTGTCCAAGGGATATGCCTCCCAAGTGCTGGAATGACAGGCATACACCACTGTGCCTGAGCCTTTGCGTTATTGATATATATTGCTTGATAGTCCAATAATATGTGTCAGTGATGGTGAACCTTTCAGAGCTTTCAGTGACACAAACAGCCCACTGTGGCACTCATGACCCAGGTTCAACGCCACACCGTACCTGACACAGTCCACAGATGCTAACCCACCATGGCCATCTCTCTCCAGCCAGAGGGGCTGGCTCACACAGTGAAGAGGCCAAGTGAGCTTGATGGCTTTTTCATAGACTCCATAGCAGATTCCATTAAGAGGCCCAAGGCTGGGCATGGGGGCACACTCCTGTAATCTCCACTTGGGAGGCTGAGGCAGAAAGCCCACCTTAGTTAACTGAGTGGGACTAAAGTGAATTTAAGGCCAGCCTGAATTGCATAGTGTCTCAGAAGAGGCCCAAGAAGGTGAGGTTTAAACCCATCCTTCCACGAAGGTGGATTTAGGAGAGCACTGGCTGGAGAGGTGCACTGCGAGGGACTTCAACACAGCTGAAACTGCTCAGACGGATATGTGATAAGCACAACTATCAGGAAAGAGTCTCAGTTTCTTCATTGATTCTACGGTGCCACTCATGCTTCTTACCTACTTTTATTTTAGTTTTTTGAGACAAGGCCTTGCTTTGTAGTTTAGGCTGGTCTTAAACTCCAGATTGATATCCTTCACTCAGCTTCCTGAGTGCTGAGCTTACAGGCATGTGCTACTACACCCACCTCTTAACCAGCTAGTAAAAAAATTGGAGTCAGGTGTGAGTTCGGTACCTGTAACCTCAACACTCAGAAGGCTGAAGCAGGAGGCTCTCCAGGAGTTGGAGACCAGCCTGAATATATAACAAGACTGTCTCAAAACACCAAAATAAAAGTTACTAATTTTAAATAATTCATGATCATAACACACTACATACTGAAAAATCTTTCCCTTTTAACCTGTCTGCCTCAGCCTTTAGTTTTCCTATCAGGAGGCAACCTTTATTTTATTAATTTATTTGAGTTTTGATTCTGTATGTTTCTCTTTGCAGTACTAGAAACAACTCAAGACCTTCACACTAACCACATGCCCAGCAGCCCCGATCTTGAGTCTTCCCGAGAGAGAAACAAACTGGGGCAAAAGCTCTGACTGGTAAACAGGGCTGCATATTAGCCAGCATCGAGGGCTGGCTGCGTGTCCTGTGATCCTGCCAAGGTTCCTGTTTGGTGTTTTCAGCCGTGGTTACCTAGTGGTCTGGGTTTTTTCTTCCATCCATCCCAGTGATACTTGTGTAACGTTGGAGTCCTGTGAGAACTGTTATGTTCCTCAGAAAGCTGAAAGGCCCAGCTGTGGGTGCCAAGCCTGTGTCCAGCATCACCTGACTGCAGTTGACAAGGGCACCAGGCTGGCTTCTGGTGTCAGGGACTACTGTCCTTCCCGCACGGGATGCGTCTGCTTCTTTCCTTGCAAGCATGAAAAATGTAGCAGCGCTTCATCTTTGTTAATGAAGCATGGTTCTCCATTGGGCAGAGAAATGGGTGTCTAGATTGTTTGCTGTTCAGATAAAGCCACCATAACGCATTACCCTTGTCAGGCTTTCGTGCACAATACATTGCTGAAAGTGAAGTTTTTGGAGCAGGGAGGCCTTGTGAATTTTAAATTTTGTTAGGTGTTATCAGGTTGATCTTAAAGAGCTTGTACCAATTAGCAATAAGTGAGATTCCCCATTAATCTACATTATTGCCCAAATACTATGCTACCAAACTTTGTTATTTTGCCAATCTGATAGACTAAAAAGTGGCATTTTAATTCCCTTTCTTGTTTTTTTCTTTCTTCTTCTTTTTTTTTTTTTTTTTTGTCAAGACAGGGTCTCACTATGTAGCCCAGGCTGGCCTTGAACTCAGTGACCAGCATGCTTTGCCTCCCGAATGCAGTGACTGCAGCGGTGTACCCCCACACCCAGCAGCTTAATTCCCTAAGAGTAAGCTGTGTATATTTAACACTAATGCAAGTGGTAGGAAGGTGATGATTGCTGTGAGAATCCATCAGTGCTAACTAAACTGCATCCTATTGTGTATTTGATTGAAAGCCTTTTAGGGAAGTTGCACACTTAACTTTGGTGCCCCTGAAATGTTTTCCTAGGAAATGAACTCAGACGATAGTGCTGAACAGGGAAGCAACCAAGCAGCCATACGAAGGTATTAACGTCCAGAAGCACCGAAGCTGAGCATGTGGTGTGAGAGTCTCAGGGTGAGCTTGATGGCTCAGCTTCAGACAGCTGCCTGGGGACAGGGCTGGCCTTCCGGCCAGGGTGTATATGTGTCCATGTGTGTGCACACGCACGCACGTCCTTGGCTGTCCTGCTGTGCAGGATGAAATCCATGTGCACACTCAGCTTCCATGCTGAGCATAACAAGTTCCTACCCTCAGGAGTCTGACTTTCTAGACAACAAATCTGTGAGCAAGAAACAAGCTGTCTGCCGTTGTCACTGGGTCGCACATTAGCAAGTTTAGAGAATATCAGCCTCATCTTGACCCTAAATCATCCTCAACAGCCAGGACACAAGCAGCAGCCACAGTAACCATCTCCCCTCTCCAGCCTAAGGAGAGTCCCACCTGCCCCTCTCCCTCGTGAAAGTTAAGACACTTAACTGCCCCATCCAGCTGTTTTTCTTCCTCCTCTTCTTCTTTTTCTCCTTGAAATAAAATGAATTTGGGAAAAGATAGACAAGCCATCCAACTGTCTTGAACCTTTAAACGTTTAAAATCGCGCATGGCCCAAAGTGGCCCAAATTCTGTTCTGGACCCTGGAACGCTTCCTGCTGAGACAGCTGCTCAGCCACACCTCCACCGATGTTCTCTTGCTGCAGGAAGTTCAGTAAAATAAAAGCCTAGGGTTGTTTGACTAAGATGTGGCTGGTGATTTTTGCCAGGGCAGGCTGACTTTGTAGCTAACCAAAAGTGCTGTCCTAGTCACTTTCCTGTCACTGGGATCAAAAGCTGCATTTAAAGGAGGAGAGGTTTACTTCCTCTGTTCTTGTTGTGCAGGCTACAAGCAGAAAACGCAGGGGCAAAGGGCCGGATGGAGGAAAGCTGCTCCCCTGAGGGCGACCAGGGAGCAGAGGAGGAGGGAGAGCAGTCCGATGGGCTCACCCCGCTGTCCTGCCTCTCCTGAGCCCTCGCTTCCTAAGAGCACAGCTACGTACAGCACCACCTGTGCTAACCTGAAGCTTTGGGGTGTCAAAACAGAAACCCGAACAGGTGCTGCTCTTGGAGACAGCTGAGTGGGATAGAAATAGGCAGCCTTGGGGGACACAGACACATCCGCTGAGGGGAGCCCTCAACAAAGATGAAACATTTGCACCCATAGACTTCCCCTAAGGTCAAAGACAGGTACGGGTATTCTAAATCGGTGCCCATCACCTTGGGGAAGCCAGGAAAAGCCCCTGTTGTATTTCACACCTGCTTCTCCACTTGATTCCCATTAATCAATAGTCCCGGAGCAGCTGTGCTCATCTGGTTGGCCGTAGTTTTGTTCCACCTCATGTCCACCTTGTGATTTCCCATTTTTCCCACCTTGGACCCACCTCGCCTTGTGGGTTTGCTCTGTAAACATCCCTAGAGAAAGCAGGGTCCTCAGCAGCCCATTTGGGGCCTCTGGTCTTTCTCCCCAGTAAATATATACTGCTCTTAACCCCCATAGTTCCTTCAATTATTCTTTGATTTTAGAGAACACGACATCTATCAGGTTGGAAGTTTCTTTACCTTATATCATTATGACCAACAAGAAAAAAAAAATGCCTCAACAGAAAACAGGCAGGGGAAGGTGACAGACCCCTTGCTAGCTGCTGGAGCAGAAAAGGCAGGCCTTGTGCAGAGCTGACCCTGAAGGGGCAGAGACCTGAAGCAAAGAGGGAGCAGGTGGGGTGTGGCTCTGGAGTAACAAACACCGACCAGGGCCTGGAGGAAAACACTTTAAATAATAAGTTATTTACAGACAGTGTCTCCAGAATCCAGTCAAGCACAGTGGTTTTTCAAGAATGGACGTACGCAGCAGGGTGTGGTGGCGAGCCAGCAGTACTCCTGGTGCACAGGAGGCTGAGGCAGGAGAATCACCACAAGTTCAAGGCCAGCCTGTGCTGCATATTGAGTGTGAGGTGGCTTGAGCAATACAGCAACTTCCTGTCCCAAAACAACAGCAACAAAAAAACAGTGCTGTGGAATTGGCTCCCGTGCACATTAGGCAAGGAGGCCTCAGAAGGCTGAGGCAGGAGGATCTTGAGCTTGAGGACAGCCTGGGGTACACAGTGACACCCTGTCTCAAAAGCAAACAAAAAAGTGAACAAGGACAAAGGTGATTTCCTGGAAATGTGGAGTAGTGGTGAGGCCTCCAACCACACAGGCCTCGGGGCTCGGTAAGGAATGGGTTTGCTGCAAGGCCGTGGGATACCACATCTTCATTCCACGTCCCCACTTTGGCCAGAGTGACCTTATCCTGCACCCAACGCAGTGGCCTCACCCACCCAGCAGGTTGCAAGTGGGGACAGCTTGCCAGGCCTGAAGCCTGCAGTCCCTGAAGGTCCCACCAGCTTCTCGGGTCTTCATCAGGGGCTGGGAGGAACCAAAGGCTGCACAGGGCCCGCAAGCTGCAGCGAGCAGGAAGGAAACGCCCGTGAGCTGAGGGCACAGCACCAGTGGCCCCGAGCGCCCCCAGGTTTTCAACGTGTGTTAAATTGAAATCCGATTTAGCTCAGCGGCATAAGCGCCTACTTGGCAAACACAAGGTCATGAGTTCAATCCCTGGTTCCGCAAAAAAAAAAAAAAAAAATTGAAATCCACAACGCGAACCGGAGGCCTTGTTTTGCTGGGAGGCCGGCTTTACCCGGCGCCGCCAGC